GGGGGGGGGGGGGGGCCGTGGGAGGGAATGGAAATGGAAACAAATGAGAGATTAATCCATTTGTCACCAGCAAGTCCAAAGGCATTCTTTCAATTTACTGTCAATTTCCAATTTCAGTTACGGGAGAATAACTTCTTCGGTGTTGGGTGAAACACATGTTGCTCGGATGGGAGAATCGTAGGCCCCACTGATGCTAATAAAAAAACCCAAGAATAGGGCAAAGGCAGGAAATAGGAATCAAGTGTCTGAAAACGTTTTCAAGTCTTCTGTGCTCTGCACATCATACATCAAGCTTGTCATTTTTTCCCTGCAGATACAGAGTCCAGTAGAGAGGCCACCCGCAGACAGGGTGCCCCAGCTGAGGCGGGCAGGTGTGTTCCGAGGGGTCCTCCCTGCCTTGCCAAAAACAGACCAGTCCCCTGAATCTTATTTAAAAACCTTCAGGTTCTTCTGTCCGTTTCTTGCCTGCGTGGCCATTCCCACCAACCCTGAGGAAGGAAAATGACTTAGAAGAGAAAAATCACACAAATGGAAACCAATAGAGGAGAAAAGATGGATCATTAAAGAGGAGACGGCTAGTGAATAAATATTCCAACTTAATTTTAAAATTAAATTCACTGTTAATATCAGCACTTTAATTTCATTGCCTTTTATTCCTTTGGTATTTCCATGAACTAAAGTGAAACAGCCAAGTTACAGTATCATTTAATTTTACTTACTGGTGGATACCCTTTGGTATAACAATACAAGACCTCAAAGAGCCTGGAAAAGATATTTAAACCTTAATTACGTGTCTTGCATAAATTCTTAATTCTGACATTCTACTGCATTATTAACATACTAGGTACTGGAGACCCACAGAGTTGCAAGCGTTCTCGGGTTGAGGGACTTTGGTCGTGTCTGATGGTGGATATGAATTATAATGTTACTTACCAAGTCTGTGTTTACATAGTACAAAAAGGAGAAATAAAAGAGAATCAGAGGCTGGTGGTCATGCTAAAAAGGCCCATCTTAATCCAGTTTAGGAGGGGAAAGTTGACTTTCTTTTTTGGCTCGCTATTAACAGGTGGTTTTTTTTTTATTTTTTAAGAAAAAAGTCAGGATTTATTGATAGAAAAAAGAACTCGTCTGCTCTCCATTACAGTACAGGCACTTACACCGCTACCCAGTTAAATGCCCTCTTTATTTTTTTACTTTTTACTTTCAATTTCAATTTCAATGTTTTTAAATTTATTCATTTATTTGGAGAGAGAGAATGAGCAGGAGAGGGGCAGAGGGAGAGGGGGAGAGAGAATCCCAAGCAGGATCCAAGATCAGTGCACAGCCCGCTCGATCCCACGACCATGAAATCATGACCTGAGCACCTATCAAAAGTCAGATGCTTAGCTGATTGAGCCAGTCAAGTGCACCTATTTTTATGTTTTTATTTGAGAGAGAGAGAGAGAGAGAGAGAGAGAGAGAGAATCTTAAGCAGGCCTCACACCCAGTGTGGAACGCAACATGGGGCTCAATCTTACAACCTCGGGATCATGACCTGCGCCAAAATCAAGAGTCGGATGTTCAACAGACTGAGCCACCCAAGCGCCCCTCAGTCATGTCTTTATGGAAGCAACTACCATAATTTTGTGATGATGTTAATTACAATTCAATTAATTGCTAGCTTGGGATGAGCTCACTCACACGCTACAATGATCCTGGGTACTGACTGACAGCTGACAGCAGAGGCGGGCTCAGGGCTCCTGTCTTCACCCAGCAGGTGTTCACTGAGGACCGTGGCCTGGGACAGTCACCAACCTCAGGGGGCGTGCTCTCTCCTGCCCTGCCCAAAGTGAGCTATTTATTTAGTTCTAACTGACTCAGTGACAAGTTTCTAACCCCACACATTAGAAATAAATTCCTTTCTGGGGCACCTGGGTGGCTTAGTCTGTTAAGCGTCCGACTTTCGCTTAGGTCATGATCTCGCGGTTCGTGGGTTCGAGCCCCACGTCGGGCTCTGTGCTGACTGCCAGCTCAGAGCCTGGAGCCTGTTTCAGTCTGTGACTCCCTCTCTCTCGGACCCTCCCCTGCTCACGCTGTCTCTCTCTCTCTCTCTCTCCTAGAAATAAATAAAAACCTTTAAAAAAAAAAGAAATAAATTCCTTTCTGGGAGCTGAAGTCTCGAAGCTCTGGACCAAGACCCAAATGTTTAGCAATGAATGTTTAGGCTAAGAGATCTATCTGATGCCCTAACCCTGACCCCCTGGCAGCAGATTCCAAACAAAAGCTTTAAATAAGGCAGCCAGCAAAGTGGGGGTCCATGCTTGGAACAGACCTTCCTCACATCGAAGAGAAAATTCCTAAAATAAGCAACACTTTTTATCTAACAACTCATAGCTTCCTAGAGCAACCTTTACTTTCCTACTGAAAGGGAGGTGAAGGGGGTGCTGGGTCGTTCAGTCAGTTAAGCATCTGGCTCTTGACTTCGGCTCAGGTCATGATCTCACAGTTCCCGGGTTTGAGCCCCATGCCAGGCTCTGTGCTGACAGTGGGGAGCTGCTTGGGATTCTCTCTCCTCTCTCTGTTTGTGTGCTCTCTCCCTCTCCCTCTTTCTCTCTCTTTCAAAATAAATACATAAACCTTAAAAAGGGGGGAGGTGAAGAACGGGGCCGGGATGAGTGACACGGTCAGGGATCAGGTCAGTTGCCAAGAGGACAAACGGCACGACTGTGTTTGGAGGCACCAGTGCTGAGCGGAAAGCCAAGGAAGGCAAAGGTCAGGTGCTTGTCACGAATCATAACCTGGATCTTGCATTTGGGAAGGAGACGCGTCTGTGGGATGAGACCCTCACATGTTTCATTCCAGCAAGACAGGGAGCCCCTGCTCCTCATGAACAGCAAGTTAACTACCCGCCGAAGCCAACATGCAGGAGCCGATATTCTCTCTCCTGAGGTTCTGAGGCGATAAGGGACTGTGGTCTTCTCGTACCTCAGCCTCCACCCCCTGAATATGACTCCGGCAATATTCCTGCTCTTGAAGCCGGCTGTTAACTTTTGTGTTTGCTGACGTAGATCGTGCCCTTGAAAACTGATTACCATCCGATAATGATGGGACAGAGAAGAGGGTCAACGCAATTAGGTTAGCGGGTGGCAAAGGGGGCCTTCCCTGTGCTCTGTCGTGACAAATCGCTGAGTATATCTGCCTTCCTTTGAGAGACAGAGCAGCAGTCCACACACCCACGTGCATTTGATCACACGGGGAATACCAGAAGCGTTTGCGTCCAGATGAAAAAGGGCCACGGGACCAAAAGAGAGGGCGAAGCCAAAGGAAAACAGTCGACCCACAGACCTTAAAACAATTCAGGACAGAATCAGAGTATGTCATACAAGGTGATGCGTGTGAGAAACAGCTTCCCATACATCCAGGACACTCCCCACACGTGAGCACACGCACCACCGCACACCGGGCGCCACTTGTCCATGTACCGCGGCCACTTCAGAAGCTCTTAGATTTTCTCCCCTCGGTTGCTTTAGGGGATCTTAACACCAGTAAGTCGACTGAGTAAAACACAAAAAAAGTTTCCTTCTCTAAGCACTGGGACATGAAGGCCATGGAACATTGCCTAGATCTCAAAAGGCATAAAATTACGTGACAACGACACGGTTCTTTTTTAATCCAAAGTGCGATCCAGAAAAGCTCCTTTTCAGCAGTTTTCCCCAAAGCAGATCAATTTAAGAGGCAATTACCATCAATGCAATTATGTGCCTCTGTGTTCCCTAATAGTCGCCCAATGTGTTCAGAGAGATAAGGCAAGGCCCTTTCAAAAATGAGGACAAATCAGTGAAAGGAGAGCATGTGGAAATTGTCTTCTCAACAATACAGGTCAGGAGACTGAACAGCAAAGCCAGAGTTTAAACACACACACACACACACACACACACACACACACACACACTGATGTAATCAAAAGTATGATATGAGCCTCTTCAAGCAAGTGAAGGCATAAATTCATACACACCCTCCTTCTCTAGAGATAAATCTTCTCTACCAATGAAATCCCACACGCTTTTTTTTTGTTAACTACACATCAGAAAAAAAATGTTTAAAGTTTTGTACTCACCAAGGGAAAACGAAGGCTATAGTCTGAAAAAGAAAGGGGAAAAAAAGAGAATTAGTTTTCTGGTTACTGGTGTGAGGTGCTCATTCAACCACTTCTTGGTCTACAGCTCTAGGTGAACGTGCTCATTTCTGCATCGTTGTTGGGGCCTCCTTGAGGCCTTTTTATCTATCTATGTGACGGTGACTTTTTGTTGCAGTCATCAGCTTTCAAAAGTGCAGCACCTTGAGCTCTCCCGTGACCTCTGGTTGTCACTGTTGGGGGAAAGCGAGGGGCTGACCTAGGTGGGAGGCACTGGGTGTCGAGCCCCCAACCTGAATGCCCCCCTCTTCCAAGGCGATGCTCAGATACTTATAACCTGCATGGCTTGGCCCCTCACCTTGGCTTTCCAGCTAAATCATTATCCAGCCCGCTCATTCCTCAATAATTAAGCTTTTATGTCCTTTTCGTTTCTAACATCTCATTAAGATAGAATTTGCATGCCATAAAGTCCACCTGTGTACAATTCAATGGTTTTTAGCCTAACCACAGAGTTTTACAGCCACCACCATACCTAAATTTAGAGCATTTTCATCATCTCAACAGAAACCCCACGCCCATTAGTTCATTTTAGCTCTCCAGCCCGTTCTCCCCCCACCCCCTCTCCCCGGGCAGCCACCAATCCACTTTCTGTATGCGGATTTGTCTCTTGTGGACATTTCATAAAAATGAGATCCTACAGGATGTGGCCTTTTGTGAGTCGCTGCTTTTACTTAGTACATTTTTGAGACCCATCCATGGTGTAACATGTACCAGTTCTTCATTCCTTTCTGTGGACAAATACTCTTCCATTTCGCATACACCGTACACCATGTGCTGTCTGCCTACCCCTCTGCTGGCAGCCATGGCCCTCTGGTCCCTGTATGAGCAGCTAGTGGGACAGCCTCCCACCGGAGCTGGAGACCATGCTGAGTTGTCACCACACATCTGTGCAGCTAGATGTTTTGATCACCACTATTTTTAAATAGCTAATGCTGTACATGGTGCCTTCCACCAAAATAGAATACTTCTTATCTTAGTCGTGGCCGGGCTAGATATTTTAAACCAAAGACAACAGTGTACAGCACACAATCACGACAAGTTGTTGCAGGAATTAAAATGCTGACCCATGAAGTCAGGTGAAGCCAAAAGGAGCAGAAGACACAGTTCTTCTAATACTGAGGAATTTTAAATCTACTTGGGCAAGTCTACAGTTAATGCGATCTTAGTGGTGAAGCCGGACTGCTTCCTCACTAATCCTGGGAACGAGGCAAGGATGTGCACTCTCGCCACTCGTAGTTCACATTGTACTGGTCAACGTAATAGGGCAAGAAAAAGAAATACAAGACATTGAACGTGGAAAGAAAAAAGAAAGACTTCGGCGTTCTCTGATGTCCGTCTACATAGAGAATCCCAAAGAATCCACAAAAAATCAACTGGGAATCAGTCTCTTGGGTAACATATCAAGTCACAGAGTTCCCAGAGTGCAGCAGGGCCCAACAGAACACAAAGTAAATGGCAGGGAGGTGAGGGAGGCGCTGATTGTGGGGCCACTGGTGATCACGGGGGGCGAGGGGAGCTGCTTTCCGTAAGAATAACTAACTGCAAGAGCCCACTACTCCTTCCAATCCCCGAAGAGCCTGGGAAAATGCTGGGAAGAGACACTTGTGTGCTTGTCTGGGGCCAAGCATGGCGAGAAGCCAGGGGCAGAAAGTGTCCTTTATGCTTCAGACTTCGTAGAAATGCTCAAAACTACCTTCCAGTGTAATGCAGGGTCATTTTATCATGAAACAAAGCCCAGTGATAGGCAGAGGCAAAGGCGCAGGCTCGAGCCAAACCACACTGAAAACCACCAGGGAGAAAACCAAGAGTGTGTAGAACCAGGCAGGGACCCTGCCCACGGATGGTTAAACAAGTGAATAAGCATAATCGACTGAATATCAACCAAACACACACAACCATTTTGAATTCAACTTTGAACTAAGGCTGTTTTATTTTCTTAAACTAAACAAGAATACACGGGACTGTGGGCTGGGCAAATAGATCACGTATTGTCCTGGTGTAGGCTACACACTGCAGCGCAAAACCACGGCTCTCAGTTTCTCCAAGAACAGAATTAGAACAAAAACCAAGCAACCAGAATACCCTCTCGAGCCAACCTTCGGCACATGAACACTTCCTTTAGCCCAAGGCCCTGATGCGGACTGCAGTTCTAATATTGAGCACGACGTCTGAAAAGATGAAATAAGCACATTTAAAGCCAGGGGTGGGGGAGGTCGGTTCACGCGGACAGATCTGTTCTTCTCACGAGGAGGGTGTCACTGAGCTGTTTGGAAGGCATCATTCCACACCTGGAAACCTCTCTGGTCTTATCAGGAATGGCAACATCGTCCACACAGGGGAAGGAGAGAAGCTATTGGATTTTGGATCCTGTCCAGTGCCGCTTACAGTCTCTCCGTGGCCCACAGCCAGTCCTATGAAACAGGCACCGGAGTCCCCTTTGAAAGAAGAGAACACTGAGGCTTGGTGAGCCCCTTGACCAGTGTCACACAGAGCAGGGAGGCGGGCAGCCAGGATGCTAACCCGGGGCTGCTGAGGCCACTCCTGGCTGGGCCTCACACGCAAGTCTAGCTTACCCTGTGGTTTTCTTTGGTTGGCTTATTGCTGGTTTTTCTTTCTGTGTCTCCATCCCCGCGCCCCCCCTCCACCACCAGTGAAGCCTTAATTCTTTACATTCCTAACGTCTCCCACCAGCCACCAGCAGGAAGACCCGTAAAGGCGTCTGCGAGCACGACACTGCCACAAGCAACTCCCTAAAAAACCCCTTCGCACCCCAGGCAGAGCTGCACCACGGCCTGTGGGCCTGCAAGGGGGGACGTGGTTGTGTGGAAGCCTGCGCCAGCCCGACCACGGAAGTGTGGAGGGCTGTCCCTGGGGCGTCCAGACGCGGCCACTCTGCTTCCAGGGGACAGAGGCGGAGGCCGCCTGCCAAGCCAGACCCTGGGAAAGAGGTGGTTTGAGGACGCGGAACAGGGGAAATCCACCGAGAGGGGCGGGGCCGGGCGGGAGGCCAGGAGGGCCGGCACTTCGGCAGGAAGCGGCCCCAGGCCACAGGGCTGGGTCCTGATGGCTCACAAGATACTGAAAGACCTGTCACCCTTACAGCGCATCCAAACCTCACCAAGAAGAAAATAAAACTATGACGTTTGGAATCCACCCGCGGGGGCTGCTGCTTCATTTAAGGAGGAGATGAAAATTATTCTGACGCATCCAGCTCTCAGATGGACAGAGCCGGACAATCTTTCCAAACTCGGACAAAAGGAAAAGGTCTTTTGCACACACACCCTTGGCTCGAAGCATCCTAAACATTCAGGTGGGCGGGCTGTGTGTTGCTGAGGGTGTATTTACAAGCGATTCTTTCAAGTGGGCTGCAGCATTTTATCACATTTTGGATGCAGGGGTGCCTGGGTGGCTCAGTTGGTTGAGCGTCCCACTTCAGTTCAGGTCATGATCTCGGGCTTTGTGGGTTCAAGCCCTGCATCAGGCTCTGTGCTGACAGCTCGGAGCCTGGAACCTGCTTCGGATTCAGGGTCTCCCTCTCTCTCTGCCCCTTCTCTGCTTGCGTGCTCTCTCTCTCAAAAATAAATAAACATTAAAAAATATTAAAATGTTTCTGTGTGTATTTCCACATGTGTAGTGTATCAAACTTGTGAACTTCTATGATAGGTTCAATTTCATAAAGCAAGGGCACACTAGTAAAAGCACACTCGTGCAAGGAAACACCGCGAATCTGGGCTTCCGCGGTCTCGGCAGCACAGTCAGTCCCCACAGAGAGAGCCTCCGCCACCCTGGCTGCACCGTCCGGACCCCAGGGTCTCAGACACTGAGTTGCCCCCATCAACTGTCAGAGCCCCAGCACAGAGGGCCTTTCCCTCTCAGGCACAGGGACTCGCAAGACGATGAGGGGGCGGCCGTCAGCTTAGATGGGTTGCCCTGAGAGCAGAGAAACCAGTACAGAGGAGATGGCAACAGAGGCCGTGGCGCCCACGCAGCGCGCGGGGCGGGGGGGGTGTAGGGCGCCCCCACAACAGCACACCTGCTGCGCCGGGGTCCCGCCAGGAGACAAGTGCACCCTGCCTCCCCGTGGCCACTCGCAAGGCAGGACAGCCTGCAAGATGCCCCTGAGTCATCTGGGCTCCAGGCTCTCCCCGATGTCACACGCCAGCAAGCATCACAGCTTCCTGGCTTACCTTCCAAGCATCCGCAAGGCTGTTCATTTCTGTACTTTCTAACGTGAGGGGCTGCTGAACACATGGGGGACCGAAACCCCCCTGAATGATGAGTTGGGGAGAAGTGATGATACTCTGCCCACCCCACCGAAGCCGACTTGAAAAGGCAGGAGCGGGGGTCCTTCAAACAATTTTGCTAATGCTGGAGAAGAGATCTACTTTCCCTGCCGTTTTGTCAATCCAAGATCAACCAGCTGGACTCCTAAATATCTGGCAAATGTAAAAAATGATGCAGGGACAGGTGCTCAGCAAAGATGTGCGTGCTTCTTAAGACTTTCTGGAGCTCTATCCCGGCACCTCCCTCCTTACCCCACGGTTGCGGGAGGGGCTTCTCTGGATTGGGAAACTGTGCCGATTAGCAAACCAATGACTCGATTCTTACAAGTTCAAATGGCTGCCAGCTTCTGACTATCCATGTTTGTCTCTGCCATTATCATTTGGGAACACAAGACTTTAACTGTTTTTCCTTCCAAGGCACCGGGTGCTCTTCCAGCCCCAGACAGGAGGGGGGCCTCTCCTGTGCCCCCCTCCCACGGACCAACTGCACAGATCTAGAACAGGCACGTGCCCCCGCCTCTGCCCTGCGCCAGCATGACCCTGGCTGTGGAAGGTGCAGGATGACACCTGGTCCTTCGGCCCGCCTCTTCACCTGCCCGCCTCTTGCACTCGGCACAAAGGATTCCTGGATACTGACAGTCGTCAATATTATACTTTAAAAA